CATAAGAAATTACTTAACCTTCTGCTATTCCAAATATATTTAATGCTCATTTCTAAAGATGAGCCTTCCTCCCCCCAAAAGTAACTATGTTGTTTCTTTGAAATTAGTTGGAAAAATAAAACCCAGTGCTGGTGACAAATATACAGCAAATTCACTTCTTCATTCTTCACAAAGACTGAAACCAATTTTCAGGACCATGAAGAGCTACAAATTCACCCATTTTCAAAGACTTGTTTGAAGACTATGCAGCAACTTTGTTGTCTTTCTAAAAAGGGGAAAAGAAAAATTAGCTCATGTTCTAAATGATTAATTTATTAATAAGCCCTTTTTTAGCTGCTCACATTTACTATAAGTTATCTTTAAATGTACTGTTTTTACTTTATGAAAATATTTGTTCAAACCAATTTTGAAGAATTATTTTTTATAATTTCTATATCAATTGTTTAGCTCATTATTTGTTTAGCATACTTTGTACTCAGCAGAGGTTAAAGCAGTGGTAATATAGCTGAGCCTTATAGGTACAACCTACAACTTCTGGCTCCTCCAATAATTTTATTTTTATTTTTTAAAATTCAGTCTTTCTTTTTTTTCTTTCTTTTTTTTTTTTTTAAATCTTTCTTTTCTGAGACAGGGTCTTGTTATGTAGTTCAGATTGGCCTCAGACTCACCATGTAGTCAGACCAGTCTTGAACTTGTGAGAGTCCTCCTGCCTCAGTCTCCTGAGTGCTGGGATTATACGTGTGCCATTACACCTAGCTGCCCCCAATAATTTTTAAAAAGTTAAGTAATTTCAACTTTCAAATGAGTAGTCAAACTCATCAATTAAAACTGACAGCATCTTTAAAAAACAAAACAAAGCAAAACACCAGCTTTCTGAAAATCCTTTTTTTTTTTTTTTGGTGGTACCAAGAATTGAACTCATGACCTTGTGCTTATCAGACAACCACTTATTCCACTGAGCTATCTCTTTGGCCCAACCAAATATCACAATTTTTTTTTTTTTCCTGTGGTCAGCTCAGCCCACCCTGGGGGCAAGGCTGGTGCAGCATGTGGTGCAGGGGATCAAACCGCATCCCTGAGCTTGCCTAAGCAGGCACCATAGACTGTTGAGCTATTGCGCTGGCCCTGAAAATCTTTATCTTTATGTCTCTCCAAAATTTCATGCCAGGAGACAGCAAAGCTTTGGAAATTTATTCTTAAAAATAATGAAACAAATTCTTTTTGGGGGTGGGGAAGTGGGAATTGAGCTCAGGTGCTAGGTAGGTCCTGTGTTGCTGAGCTACATCACCAGCCCTAGAAACACATTCTGAAAAAGAAGTTAGCTTGGAATTAAAAAATATAATCAGTGAGAAAGCAACAGATGGGAGCGGGGAGATAGCTCAGTAAAATAAACGCTTGCCTGGCAAGCTCAAAGGCCTGAGTTCAAACCCCAGTTCCAAAAAAACAAAAAAACCCCAGAAATTTTCCAATAAAACTAATCCCAAACTAAAGGCCTGTATACAACATCAGAGACAGAGTTTCTGTTTTCCTTTAGTCTAGCTGCTATCACATACAGTTGGCCATTCATATCCTTGGGCTTTGCATCCAGATTGAATGAACCAGACAGAAAATGGGGGAACAGACGGGGTTACATCTGTGTTGAACATGTACAAATGTTTTCTCATTATTCCCTAACAATACATAAAACAATTATAGTATTTACATTACATTAGGTATTTACATAAGTAATACAGAGAATGCAAGCTTAGTATGGGTGGGGCGGTAGATTCAATCTACAGCACCCCAAAATAAATAAAATTTATGATGATGTGTGCAGAGTCTATACAAACCCTATCCTATAAGAGACCTGACTACCTGTTGATTTTGTATTCACAGCAATCTTGAAATCAATCTTCTGTGGACATTGAGGGATATAATTTTTCCTGCTAATTCTTACTTCATCTATTAAGACATTTCCTTTCATCTAGGTGGACTTCAAATATAGTTTCATATATAACTTCATATATGTATACAACACCAAATCATTGTATGGGATGTTATATTGAAAAAAATATGGGACACTATAAAGTTGGTACAAGCTAGATGAAGGCGAGGGATACAGCTCAGTGGCGCAGTGCTGCCTGCCAAGTGCAAGATACGAGTTTGATTATTGGTACCAAAACCAAACCAAACCAAACTGAACTGAACTTGAACAAACAACAATGAAAAAGAAATAGATAAATCTGCTGCTGCCCACCAAAGCCAACATTCACATCTCCCCCCATTTTTTTTTTTTTTTACCTTTCAGAAAGCAGTAGGACAATCCAGACCTTTTAGGGTCCAAAAGCTGTGGTTTTCTGAAAGGTAAAAAAAAAAGGGGACAGGGGATGGGGAGAGAGGTGGGAAGAGAGAAGGGGCATGGGGAGAGGAGAAAATTAAAAGGGGAAGAAAGGAAGGGAAAAGAGCATCATGCTGAGTCATTTCAGATACCTCATTTCTCAGGACCCTTTTTTTTTTTTAAATAATTTTTTTACATTTATTTATTTTGTGTGTGTGTGTGTGGCCAGCTCAGCCCACCAGGGGGCTGGCTGGCTGGCATGTGGTGCTGGGGGATTGAACCGCGGTCCCTGTGCTTTGCCAAGCTTGTTCTAAGTAGGTGCTTTAGACCACTGAGCCATCTCTCCAGCCCCTCTCGGGACCCTTTCTGAAAAGTATGGCTTAAATGCAGTCCTGCCAGTCATGGTGGCTTGATCATCTTGGCAACAACACATAAAATGGGAGCTAGCTACATTCTTATAATCCCAATCCCAATCTTCACTCCTACTCCTCATGAAAGGAAGAGAGAAAAGCATCACAGGATTAAATGTTTATGTTTAAAATATTACCATTTAGGGAAACTGGACCAAAAATCAGGACTGTGAGTTCTGGCATTGCTGCTTTCTACCCGCAACAATGAACTTCTCAACATACTTAATTTCCCGACCGTCTTGTGGGCAGAGCATAAGAGAAGTTCTAGTTTGGCTAAGTTTTTTAAAAGGTTCTAAATGATTTTTTAAGGGTTCTATGATTTTATGTTTACTTATGTGTTTTCATTAAACAACCAAGCTTGCTTATGCTCAGGCACAAACTGCACAAGAACAAGGCCCACTCATTTCATAAAGGCTGCTGAGATGACCCATCTCTGCAAAGATGCGACAGATGATGTTTCGGAAATGAGTTCATGCTCAAGTTATATACTTTTTTTTTTTTTTTTTTTTTTCCAGAACCGGGGATTGAACTCAGTCTTTGCGCTTGACAGGCAAGTGCTTATTCTACTGAGCCATCTCCCCGGCCCCCAAGTTATATATTCTTTATGCACAGATAATATGATTTAAAAGGGTGTAGGTTGCTGAAGTTGGTGTTCTTGGTGGAGAGAAGTCATTCAGGGGCCGGGGAGATGGCTCAGTGTAATAAGCGCTTGCCTGGCAAGCACAAGGGCCTGAGTTCAACCCCCAAGTTCCGCCAAAAAAACACGGAACTCATTCAACTCTGGTATGAACAACTGTAGTGCTTACCACCCTGAGAGACCTTATTTTGTGAAAGGGTAAAATAGTGAATTTATTTTATATTCTTTTTTTTTTTTTTTTTTTCTGTATTTAGGACAGGGTCTATAGGATATACAGGGTCTCACTAAGTAGATTGGATTGGACTTACAGTGATTCTCCTTTTTCAGCCTCCCAAGTGCTGGGATTACAGGAGGGCGCCACCATGCCCAGTTTCAATCGCCGTCTCAATGTGCCACGTGGGCAGGCATGGCACTCTGGGGATGGAACTTCGTTTGCTGTGCTCTGCCTATGCAGATGCTTTAGTCCACTGAGCAATCAGGCTGTTGAATTTATTTTCTTTTGATGGTTTTTTCCTTTTCTGTGGTACTGGGGATGGAACCCAGATGTGCTTTACCACTGAGCACATCATCTATCCTTTTCATGTTTCACTTTGACACAGGGTTTCACTAGATTACCCAGGCTAGCCTCAAACGTGCAATCCTTCTTCTGCTTTAGTTTTCTGAGCAGCTAGAATTACCAGGGTGTGCCACAGGTCCTGGCTGAAGTAGTTAATTTCTTCTAATCAATATAATAAGCAATTATATCAAGTCCACTATAGCTCTATACAGAGGTAAGTGTTTTGGTGGAAATAAAAGTAGCAAAAAGCTCCCATTTGCCTGGAAACAAAAGACAAAATACAGGAAGTAGAGTACAAGTATACTTAAACTGTGTGCCATAGGTTAGAAAAGTAATCAGTGTAGGAGGGAATTCCAAAGACAGAGCCAACTTCAGGCAACACTGTGTAGGGTAAATGAAAAGAGATGCCTGGCATTAGCTATGCCTGTGTCCCTTATCTATAAATACCAGGACAGCTGGGATTATATTGGTTTGTTAGCACCAGTACCTAGCACAGTGCCGTGAAGAATTATGTATAGTTGGTAAAAGTTTGAGGCTGGCTGCAATCAAGCAGGGCATTAAGAGATGACTGCTTTTACGTTGGGAGTGACAGATGGATTTTTTTCCTGCTATGAGCAATGGTGCCATTTTGTAGAGGTATACTGGAATATCTATGTGCAAATGCCAAGTTGCATGAGAAATTCCAAAGCATGTGCCAGGACCTTTACTGGGAAAATATGAACTCGGAACTTGCCAGTTGTACCAGTGTCTTTGGCGCTGATTAAACAACAGTAAAGCTATAGATGTCACTGGCAGCTGTTTCGTTTTAATGCAGTAGTGAGCACTGCCATGTGCTCATGAGTCACCTTGCTGGGAAGTGCCTAAAGTGGATCAATTTCTGGCTAGTGCCATAATTATTTTTTATTGCAGGAAAAGCTGATGAACCACCAGGAAAATAAATGAAGAAAACCACTTTGAAAGTTGGGACTGTATTGAGGTTCCTTCTCTTGGTATTGGAGATTAACATTATAGATGCTAGGCAAATAGTTCAGTGATAGACCATAAAATAGCATGGGTTTCTTTAAATGGGGAATTCTTGGCTCTTAGCTAGTTAGCCTTTGTGGGAAAGACTGGATCTTAGAACTGCAGAGAATGCAGTCAAACCTTCATGCTCCCATCACAGCTTCTCAGTGTAGGGTTAGTTAACAAGCCTTTAATCATCTACTTGGATTCAAGAATTTCAATTAAAACAAAGTTTCTACCAAATTATGGGATAGTCTATGGCATTTTTGTAAAGCTGGCCCAATTTGGTCACTGATAAGAAAATAATGACTATACAAGTCATGGAATATTGAGCTATGTAAGGAATGGAGCAATGAAAATAAAAGCAGAGCAAAGGGCCAGTGAGATAGCTCAGTGGACTAAGCGCCTGCCTAGGCAAGTGCAGGGACTGGGGTTTGATCTCTGGATCCACTCCTGGGCATGCTGAGCTGGCCACTGAGACTGGACATGGTGGTGCGCATGTCTGTAATCCCAGGGCTAAGGAGGCTGAAAGCAAGAGGATCGCTATGCATCTGAGCAGTATAGTGAGACCCTGTACTAAATACATAGAAAAGAAAGGAAAAAAAAAAAAAAAAAAGATTGGCCTGAA